AAAGAAAATACTCTTCCTAAGGTAATTAATGAACCAGAATCTTTTGATATGAATGCAATACAAGATTGTAATTATGTTAATCTTCTTGATAGTGTAATTACTCAAAAGTGGTTTACCATGATAAAAATAGTAGTTCAAAAAGAATATAGTTTTCAAACCATTGCGGTAATAGATTCAGGAGCAGATTTAAATTGTATAAATGAAGGGCTTATCCCTACTAAATATATTAGTAAGACGACACGCGTCTTAAATACGGCAAATGGCAGTAAAATGATTATAAACTATAAACTTTCTGATGCTGTAGTCTGTAATAATGGTAACTGCTTTGAATTCCCTTTCATTATGGTTAAAGGATTAAGTCTATTTGTAATCTTGAGAACTCCATTTTTAAATATGCTTTATCCAATAAAAATTGATAGTACTGGAATTGAAGCTAATATTGAATTCCAAGCTAATAAGCATTAACAAGTCTATCCAAAAAATCTCTAATAAAGAAAAAATTTTATATTACCTCAAGGAAGAAAATTAAAATATAAAACAATAGAAACCAAGCTCTTGCTTCCTGAAAATAAAAGGACAATAGAAAGCCTTAGAAATAATATTGAAAAAGAGATATGTGCTGAACTCCCAAATGCTTTCTGGAATAGACAAAAACATATTGTTAATTTACCCTATGAGGTTGATTTTCATAAGGATAAAATTCCTACTAAAGCTAGGCCTATTCAAATGAATCCTAGACTTTTAGAAATCTGTAAAAAGGAGATTGCTGAGTTACTTCAAAACAGACTTATTAGGAAAAGCTCTTCTCCTTGGAGTTGTTCCGTATTTTATGTTGAAAAGGCCTCTGAAATAGAATAGGGTGCACCTCGATTGGTTATAAATTATAAGCCCCTCAATAAAGCCTTAAGATGGATAAGACATCCCATTCCTAATAAGAGAGATCTTTTGGATAGACTTGTTAATGCTTGTATTTTCTCAAAATTCGATTTAAAGTCGGGATATTAGCAAATCCAGATTGCTGAAAAAGATCGTTATAAGATTGCTCTTAATGTTCCCTTTGGGCAATATGAGTGGAATGTTGTGCCTTTTGGCCTAAAAAAATGCCCCTTAAGAATTTTAAAATATTATGTATGACATTTTTAATCCCTATACCAAATTCATGATTGTATATATTGATGATGTCCTAGTTTTTTCTGAAAATTTAGAACAACATTTTAAACATCTAAATGTTTTTATTAAAGCAATTAAGATGGCTGGCTTAGTAGTTTCTGCCAAAAAGATTAGCCTTTGCCAAAAAAAAAATCAGATTTTTGGGACATAACTTTTTCCAAGGAGGAATAATCCCCATAGATAGAGCTATGGATTTTGCTAATAAATTCCCTGATATAAGCAAGGACAAAACTGAACTCCAAAGATTTCTTGGATGTCTCAATTATATCACTGATTTCTATAAAGACTTGGCTATTGATGCTAAGCCATTATTCCAAAGGTTAAAAAAGAATCCTCTTGAATGGACGGATATGCATACTTTAGCCGTTCGAAAAATAAAAATAAAGGCTAAAGAATTACCCTGCCTTACACTCTCTGATCCTACTGCTTTTAAAATCATTGAATGTGATGCTTCAGAAAAAGGATTGGGAGGAATTTTAAAACAACAGATTTTAAAAAGAGAACAGTTGGTCCGTTTTACTTCTAAAGCTTGGAATCCAACCCAACAAAATTATTCTACGGTTAAGAAGGAAATTCTAGCCATTGTCCACTGTGTGACAAAATTTCAGAGTGATCTCCTCAATAAAAAATTCTTAATTCGTACTGACTGTAAAGTTGCAAAAGATATACTTCACAAATATGTAAAAAATCTCGTTTCAAAACAGATCTTTGCTAGATGGCAAGGTATTCTCTCCTCTTTTGAATTTGACATTGAACATATCAAAGGTAATACTAATTATCTTCCTGACTTTTTGACCCGAGAATTTTTGCAGGGAAGGCAAGAGGAGTCTATCAAAAAAGGGAAGTATGGAGATAGTCCCTGTTCCAAGTAAAACCTTGGCATCATCATCATCACCAATAACCCCAAAACAGTTGACCAGAAAACAAGCTCAAGAAATAACGTTTTCTCCTGAACCAATACCGAGAGCCGTAAATACACCTGGAGAAAAGAGCAAATTTATAGAAACTTCTTTCATAACTATTATCATAATAGAAGATGACCAAAAAAATAAAGATCCCTGTGAAATAGCTGCAATATATTTGAGAAATCATCTACATCCTAATAATGGAGAAAAGAATAGAGAATGGTATGAAACCATTATTCTCGAAACAGGATCAATAACTCTGGTTCATTTTTATAAAAAGAATACTAATACGATTGTATATTCTAAATTCTAAATACGTAAAATAATTTCATATAAAGAATGGGGTGTTGACCCACTAAAACCCAGGAGAATACAAGCTAAAGGTTTCAATAATAAATACTACCAATATTTTAAATATATTAAAGCATGGCATGAGGTGTTTGCTTTTCAAAATGATATGAATTCTCATACATGGTTTCTACAAATTAAAATACCAGTAATAGGGGAATTCCCAAACTGGTTCAGAAACTGGTTCCAATTATGGGGCTCCGGAACGGATATACTACCACCCAAAATACAAGCTTCTCAAAGAAAATTCATGGATTATAATAATAACAGCCCCAAATAGATCTCTATATGTACTTTATGGCCTTATACCAGATCCCTTGGATCATGAAATGGTCATACCATTTATCTGATGATTATACAAATAACTGGGAATACCTTCCGAAATTAGGAAAACAAATATATATAAAATGGTGGGATGTTTATGATAATGACTCTCTAAATCCACCTCCACCTCCTAATACAAATATAAATATACCTGATTATCTAAATAAAATTCGTCAGCAATACCTTGAAGCAACCAAAGAAGAACTCAAGAAGAAGTTGCTGCAAATATTTGACGAAGATGAAGAAGCCATGACAACATCAACCCAAAATGAAGAATCTTATGAACAGGAAAATGACGACATGGATTATGGAATCTCACAATAGGAAAAAGCATAGTAAAGGACAGATCGACTGCAGTCTATCTAGCACACGAGTCCTTAGAATAGGTTGCCGACAAAATAGTGACCTCCTTTTACTGTTTATACCTTTCGGTCAGCTCCAAACACTGTTCATATCTTTTCACCGACAGCATCTGCCACCGACATCTTCAGTCACCTTAGAACGTGAAGACTTGCTTTTACTTTATGGACCTGAAATAATAATTTGAAGTCCGCCATACGCTTATAAAAGGAGAAAGGGTTCCTCAGCAGGAGGCATCGAAGAAAGGAAGGGAGAGTATTCTGGAGTCTAAGTCTGAGAGTATCAAAGAGTGTCAATTCTAAGTATTTTATTTGAGTGTTTTGGAGTACTATTTTATCTGAGTGGTTTGGAGTTCTGTGTGAACCATATATGTGTGATTGTCACTGGGATCATCTACCCAGCTATTGTCTAGAACAGTGGAAGCTTTTTTCTAGTTTCTACAAGTGTTGTATGTAAGTGTTTCTTTTCTAGCAGTTTAAAGTTTATTTTCTTAGTATGACTGTGCGCATTTGAATTATATATGTTTGATCTATATATGTGTGAAATTGTCATTTGAATGTCTAATTGGTATCAGAGCCATGTTTCGTTTACAGTGGTGAACTGTAGAATAGAACTGTTCTAAAGTTTAGTATGACTAAGAAAATTTCCCAACAAAGATAATAAATTGACACTAGAAGTCGTCGTGACCCGAACTACCAGTAGGCCAGGAGGAGCCGTGAAAGGTACAAGGAATGTTTTCGACTGACTCAATGATCAAAAAATTATCCGAAATGGAAAATTTCCTTAGGACACTATCCAGCAGGACAGCCTCTTCTTCTAGTACACTGCGTGTAAGAAATGGAGAAGAAGCAATTATAAACAATATAGAAAAACAGATCCAAAACTGAAATATCCCTAAAGTCCCAGCTTCTGATGTTTATAGAAAAGGGACATTTGAGTTCAAAACTAGTTTTTTATTAATACTGTAGAACAAAGTATCTCTATCACAGATGAGCAGAATAGTTTCCAACTCCTTTCTAATCGCATGATACAAGATCATAAGAAAAAAGAATATAAATACTTGCATATAGGACTTGTTCAAATCGCTATAAACCCCTTACTAGAATAGGTCTAAATAACTTTGTTCTACTCTGTTTAAGAGATGAACGACATAATAAGTTTTCTGACTCTCTGTTATGAATAATAGAATCAAGCCTTTGCAATGGTCCAATATATTTTAATTGTTTTCCCAATTTTTCAGTAGCCTTAACTGATCCTAATCTCTTGAAAGTCCTTACCCTAAACTTAAAAACTCAAGGGTTTGATATGAACTTAGGATCTCAGAATATTGCCTTAGTCTATAGGATATGTTATAAAGTCATAAATACTATATATATATGGAAACCTCATTTTAGGAGGCAACCCTTTAAAGAGAAACATGTACATTTACATAGAAAGAGTCCCCCTTACACTATAGCAATACGTGCATGTGGCTTGCTCTCAGGGGGGAACCTATAATCCCCACACTAGGGCCACGGTTCCACTATTTATTGGCCAACTTTTGCGGGACAATCATGAGTTGCTGGCATGTGGGTCATGGGTCCTGTATCGTTAGTTTGAGAAGATAGTTGTGGATCACGGTTTAGCACGCATGAAGTGCCCTAATAGTCAAATTTTGCTTGACCCATTTGTATCAATCCACTTCTAAAGCTATTTTTGAGTGTTATATATTTTTAAGAACATGACATTATTGTTTCGATTTTTATTTATGTTCATGTAATTTTTAATTGTTTTCTAAATTTTTAAAAATTATTTTATTCATCAAAACTCTAAAGAGGCAAGTGTTGATATTTCTGAAGCTTAGAGGGACATAATGAGGCCCATGAATTTATTTATAGTAATACGTGCATGTGACTTGCTCTTAGGGGGAAACCTATAATCCCCACAGGGCCGTGGTTCCACTATTTATTGGCCAATTTTCTGATATTTCTAAATGTAGAACTTTTAGAAACTTAGAAATATTTCTTTCTAAAAGAAATTTTTCAGAAAAACAAATGCGCTCGAAGAGATTTTGTAAAGATTTGTTTGGTTGTGGATGAGGTTTTCATGTAATTTGGTCATAAGATATGTTTTGAAATTTTGGCTTGACCTATTACTTGTTGAAATGTTGACTTTGAATTTCTAGAAACTGTATTTTTCAAAGATAAAGAAATTCTAATGTAATTAGAAGATTATCTTATCCGATGTTGACTAGGAGTGGATATGGGTCAAAGATTCAAGAGATAAGATTCCTAGTTTCCTTCTTAATCATGATGGTTAATTTTAGGAATAGATGGCTCTGATTTGTTTCTCTCTCACCTCATAGATTATGAGGAAATCTTTTATTCAAATTGACACCTAAGTGAGATAAGCATACCCTTGGGCCATTGAGGCCAATATGAAGGGGTCCCCCCTCATTCACACCATCAGATTTTCTGACCTCTCTCTCACTCCCCTTCTCTCCTTTTGTCTCCTCCACACCCCTCTCTGGCTCTCCCTCTCCTCTCTCTAGCCTTCTCTCTCCATCTCTCTTGTAGGGTGGCATGCCCCACCTTGGTCAAGGAGAGGGAGCACACTCAGCCCCAGTGGCTAAGGGGGTGGTGCCACATGGTGGCATACCCAAAGTCGAGTTGAAAAGAGACCCAATAGTCGTCTATGCTCTCAGCACCACCTTAGTTAGAGGGTATTGTTTGAGGTACTTCCCACTTTAGAGGATTCAGTAGGACCAAAGCCTCAAAGTACACCATCAGTTCAGTAATCGGATGTGAGATGTGCCTAAGTTCTTGGGGGGTACCCTAGGAAAAGGATTAATAAATCTTCACAGACTAGAGATGGTGTCAATGCAAAGTTAGAACTTTGGAGGGATGCTCTAGGATCTAAAGGTTTTAAAATTTTCTGGACCAAGACAGAATATATGAAATGCAAGTTTAGTAATAATAGAAGTAGGAACGAGGAATTCATTAAGATTGATGGCCATGAAGTACCTAAAAGAGCTTATTTTCTATATCATGGGTCGAAAATTCATGAGCATGGAGAGATTGAGGAAGATATCATGTATAGAATTAGAACTAGGTGGGCAAAGTGGAGATATGCTTTTGGAATCTTACGTGACTATTGCATACCAATGAATGGGATAGATTTTTGGGTGGTCAAGAAACAACATATTTATAGAATGAGTGTAGCTGAGATGAAGATGTTGAGATGGATGAGTGGTAAGACAAGAAAAGATAGAATTCAGAATGAATACATCGGAGGGAACTTAGGGGTGGCTCTAATAAGCAATAAGATGAGGGAATATAGACTTAGGTGGTTTGGCCATATATGGTGTCGACCTAGAACAACATTGGTTAGGAGGGGCGATTTGGTTTAAATAGATGACTCTAAAAGGGTAAGGGGATGGCCTAAAAAGACGTGGATAGAAGTAGTGAGAAGAGATATGGTGATCAATAGTCGGACTTAGAGTATGGCCCTTGATAGAGCGGAATGTTGGAACGGGATTTGTGTAGCCGACCCCAAATATTTGGGATAAGGCTCGATTCATGATGACGACAATGATGACCTATATATATATGTTAACTTCTCTAAAAAAAAAAAATACGACCGGTGTGCCAAGACAAATGGTGGGACTACACCAATTATTGGAGATGCTTCTAAAGGATGCAATGAATTCAACAAGCTCGAGGACGCTCGACCCTAGGAGAATGATGTTAGTTTTTTTTTTTTTTTGGTAGGAGACTAAAGTTGGATATGCGATTGTTTGGTCCCTTTTTCTATTTATTTATTTAACTTCAAGGTATTTGTGTTTTTTTTCATGTAGAGAATTGAGGGGTAGAGTTAGAAGTTTAGAAACAGTTTAGTTTCTAAAAGCCGACGGATTAGGATTTAATAGTAATAGGGTTTCTCAAGGAGCAAGTTGGGCTTGGGGGTTTTCTTCTATAATTATAGAAGTATTGGACAACAAAAACTGGAGAAGAATTGAAATTTTGGTTCTTGTGAAAATATCGTTTTGGGGTAGACTTCTCTTCAGACGTAGAGAAAGGGTTGAATATCTCAAACTTTGGGTGGACTCCCCCGTAGGCCTAGAAATAGGGTATATTCTCTCACCCTTCCTTATATTTTTTATATTTTTGGTTTATATCATTTTTCGTTTCCCTCCTTGCATCAAACTGTTCCTTCTCAACAATTTAAGCCGTGGGTTGCATGGCATCTACTTCTGCCACCTTGAACTCATCCAATGTTTTGATAGTTAAGTGACATATCCAATCACTAGTTTGTATGCCCTCATCAGTCTTAAAGCAAACCCCTCAGGCGACCAGGGACTTATAAGGACATCTACAAGGTGATATCACAACGTGCTTTAATCCATCATGTATTCCTCCTTAATCCATCATGTATTCCATACATTATATCATATCAGCTGCCTTTATCCATCATGCATTCCATACACTATATCATACCAGCTCCTTGTGTGATAGATAAATGAGCCAAATATAAGTACATAAAGGAGTAAAAGAAAACATGACAATATATTACATTCTCTAACATTCATAGAAGCCAATCGTGGTGTGATGCTCCTTCATTCTTGAGGCTGTTACAGATTTTGTCAATAAGTTTGCTGTCATCAAGTATGATGGGATGTACTCAAAGCTAATCTTTCCATGCAAAATGAAGTCTCCTGTAGTATGAAAGCTTTAGTTCTTGGTCAGCCCATGATGCTTAGATTTTATTATAGCAGCCTAATTGTCACAATGAATTGTGAATGAAGCTCCCACAATATTTGGAAGGGTTATCTCCTATAAGAAGCTTTGCTACCATCTGGCCTCCCAGCTGACTTACCTCCCAGATCCCCATACTCTGATTTAATGGTCGAGATTCTTGCTTCTTACTATCCCATGAAATGGCATTGCTGCCTTATTTAAATATCCACCCACTAGTGCTTTTCTTGGTATTATCTCCCCAACCTGTATCACTAAAACCTTAAAGAATAAGAGGTAAGTATCTGTAGCAAACGCCATACTTCTTCAATTGTATTTTATTATTCTTTTCCAGTCCTCCATTACTTGCATTACTTACCAAACCCACTGCATTAGCTTTGTCGCATCGTGCACAATTCATGGCATGAGCATGGTAAATTTGGTGCTTGCCGTTAAAGTTAGCTACATAATAATTCTTTATGAAAACAAACCATATGGAATTTCATGTATGTATGAAGTGTGAGATATGTGTAAGTGATAACTATACAGTTCACATTGAAGAGTCATCCTACAATTGATGTTCTTTAATATTGTTGAATGGATTACATCTTGGAGAATCACCCGAGTGATAATGTTCTTGATTACAGTTTCAAAAAATATACATCTTATGTTCGACTTATCCTTTAATATAATTGTTCGGTTAATGTATTGGCTTCCACACTTCAAATTTCTTATAATTTTGTCTTTAGTGTTGTGGGCTAAGTATTGTGCAAAGCATACTTGTTGTTTGTTTTAGTATTCTAATAATTTAGCAGTTTACTTTCTGTTCATATTATTTATTTTGTAACTCAGGTGTGAATTTGATTTTGAATTTGTAAGGTTGTTATACCAAAGACATATAGCAAGTATACCTCAAGGAAGGTTCTCACCACTGAATGGATAGAAGGAGAGAAACTATCGCAAAGTACCGAAGATGATGTTGGAGCCCTTGTGAATGTTGGGGTTATATGTTACCTTAAGCAGGTTCATTTCTTCAAGCACATACCTGGAATTTTATGCTTCTTTTCTCATATTTCTATTTCATTCTCTCTCTTTGGATCATCTGACTCATCAAATCATAATCAAATATAATGCAGGGAAGAACAAAGCATTGTACTGCCAAAAATCCTATAGCCTATGTCCATTTCATTCTTGTTCATCCCTTGTTACATATCAACTTACTGAGTTGTTAGTCATCATCTTTGCCTCCTTTTTACATGACTGATGTCAATAACGAAAGATCAGTGTTCAGAAACTTGCTCGGGCAGTGGACTAGGCAACCCCAAACTGAACTACTCGGGCAACTCACTTCGGACTCACCATAGTTATTCCCTAGTCAATGAAAGGGGAAAAAAAGGCCCTGAAAAAATTGGAATGAATTCCAAAAAAAACCAGAAAACATTGAAAAATTTCTGAACTCAACACTTTTTTAAGTCTCTGTGTGTATAAGAAAATTGACAAAAAATGGAAACTTACTTAATTTTTTTGGAAAGATTATTGAAATACTCATTAGAGATGAAATACTTAACATTTTGTCAATTTGCAACTATTTCAAAACCATGCGTTTTTAATGGGTATTTAGAAATTAAATAAAAAAATATGGGTTAAGTGTTTAATTGTTCATCTCTAATGGGTAATTAGATAAAATTTCTTTTTTTTATAAAATGCAACAATTACATAAATAATAATAAAAGATTGAGTGATTCTAGTAAAGAATCAAATATATTAATTTAAACTGAAAAAGATTTACCCAAAATTATGAGGCTGATTGATGCAGTCCTGGGCCTGCAGGATGTTGCTGGGAAGCACTCAACCAGTTAGGTAGGGGTGGAATCACTCATACCGAGTTAGAGGAACACTCAACTCCGATGGAGGACTCACTCAACTCCAAAAGGCAACAAGAAAATGGTTGCAAATATTTCTTTTTTTCATTCAAAATTAATCTTCCATCTTTACAGCCATTGTATAGCACATTTATAAGTTCAAAACCTAAATTTACATGCTTCCACAGACCCACTAAGCAAGTCCCACTACATTGGAAGACCAAAGCCTACCTTTGGAACTCTTAAGACAATAACTACATGCCAAACTAACCTAGTACCTGCGCAACATATCCTCTAATGCAAAGTACATTGACTTTAATGTGAGACTCCTTTCTTCCATATAGAATTTTCCAACACAAAATAAACTCATGCACTTGCATCATGCAATACCGATTCCCCAGGGTAACAACCACGCTAACTAGGTGTCCACCTTGGTGTTGAGTAATAGTGTCGAAGTATAGGACTATGCCCTGACTGGGCACTGCATTACCGATTCCCCAGTATTCATGCTCGGTGCAAATCAGTGCCTCCAATCGTTATCCAAGGTTCCTCATACCCCAACAATAAGACCCCCGAACCAATTTTGGGTTTCAAGAATGGATCTAGGGTATTTGATATCTTGAAAAATTAGGATGATCTTTGATTGGAATTTCAAATATCTAAAATCATATTTATTTTGACTTTTTTATGTAAATCAAGGTTATGGTTGGATCAAGAACACAAAACTATGCATATGGATCAAAATTCATTAGGTAATAACTACAGATCGCAAAGAAATAACAGTTTTTCAAAATTGACCAGTTTTTTTCAATCCCAAAAATTTCTCATATTTGGTGTTCTTTCTAAAATCTATTGGTGTTAAAATCCAGATCAGGCTAATTTCTTACTTAAAATGAATTTTTGGCTTAAATGGGCAACCCTAAAGCTCAAAACTTGAAGAAACAAAAACAAAGGGGGGCGGATTTTGAGCCCCATTTTAAACTTAGCAATGTGCAGTAATCCTAGTGACTTACCCTGATATTGTAGCAACCTGGGTGAATCATGCCAGAGTTTTACAGTGCTCTGATGAGTTGCTACAGTAATTTGCTGAGCACTATACAAGTCATATACAGGGTACATTATGTACCTGTTCCAGATTTTGCACCCTACCGAGAGCCTGAGTCTGAATCTAGATGGGCAAGTTTTAGATAACTGCTAAAGGGGATGTAAAGTGTGAAATAGTTGTTGTAAAAGTATTAGTTACCTCAAGTAATGTCAAATGGTCCTTTCAGCCACTGGATGTCATTAAGGAGTTTCCAAACTCAATGTAAAAAGTTGATCGTTTAAATTTGCTACCCCTTGAGAAAAGGTGAGCTTTCTATCCTGGTAGAATCCCTGGGACCGAGTTCCAGCATATCCAGCTTCCCATTCACCTAGATCCTTCGCGTCAAAGGAGGTCTTTATGGAACTTTTCAAATATTTCTTGAAAAGATATGCAAATTATTATGGAAATTTAAATGGAAGAAAAAAGGGGGTTAGTGAAGGATATCCTTTTTTTATTATAGTCTTATTAGGTTGCTCACCTTGATTAACTTAAAAGGGGAAGATGCTTTTTTGGTTGATCATGCTATGGGATTCAAGAGCTTGATGGAATGGGAAGGGCTAGCAGTTCATCTCTTACTAAAGCCATAATAGTATGCTAGTCATGACAAATTTATTACATAAGTAGGGGTAGCAACCGAGCCCGGCACAGACCGGACCGAAGAGGCCCTCGTCCAGTCTGTTCTGGGCCTACCATCCTTAGCCAATGGTTGCCTGACCCTGGTTCGGTCCTTGGGCTGTAGTTTATGGCCCAAGCTCTAGTTTTTAGGGCCAGGCCAACCAGGCCGGCTCCCAACCCATTGCCAGCCCTACACATGAGAATGAGAAATTTCGTAGGAAAAATGGTTAACATTTCTTTCTATATATTCTGGGAAATGAACTTTTCTGCACTGTTATAATGCATCATGGTGGTCCTCTCAGGATGGATGCTTTTTGGATACTCAAAACCTTTTAATGATGTTGGTTTTGGGGTTTTAATTTGTCGGTTTTGGGGTACTTCTTTCTGGCTTTAAATGTTTTCCAACTTGTTGAGACTTGAGAAAGAAATGAAATTGCATTTTGGCCATCTAATGAATGCTTGAACCATTCGATGACATACTCTATACAGTGGTTTTTCCATTGCTTCAATTTGATTTAATTATATAAGACTAATCTAGTTTATGTCAATAGATGGTAGTAAATATGATCTGGCTGGATATAAAGGAATATATTAGGTCTAGCAGTTCGTACCATCCTCCTAATTTATCCACATCAGGATGTAACCATATGCGTCCATTATACATTTATCTTTTGGACTGTTTTTTCCTATGTGATTACATTATAGAATTAATATCTTTTATTGTGATAATTGAGTGTGACCAGCAGTTGTCGCTCAATCTAATACATTTTTCCATGTGGATTTCAGTTGCTTGATACTGGGTTTTTCCATGCTGATCCACATCCAGGAAATATGATCCGAACTCCTGATGGGAAGCTGGCTATACTCGACTTTGGTATGATCTTCTCTAATGGCCCATACTGTTGCAGACTTTAATGTATAATTTCCACTAAGAATGTTAAATTTTTTGTCATTATACAGTATAAATTGATAAATGGTCCCATTTCTGTGGGAGATACATTTACCATTTTACTGATATACATCTTGTCTTAGCAGGTCTTGTTACCAAATTAACTGATGATAAAAAATATGGGATGATTGAAGCAATTGCTCATCTTATTCATCGAGATTATGATGCGATTGTCAAGGATTTTGTCAAGCTTGATTTTATCCCAGAGGGAGTTGATTTAAATCCCATCTTACCAGTTCTAGCTAAGGTTTTTGATCAGGCCCTTGAAGGAGGAGGAGCAAAGAACATTAATTTTCAGGAGCTGGCCTCAGATCTGGCTCAAATCACATTTGATTACCCATTCCGAATACCACCTTATTTTGCTTTAATAATAAGAGCAATTGGTGTGCTGGAAGGTATTGCTTTAGTGGGCAACCCAGATTTTGCTATTGTGGATGAGGCATACCCATATATTGCACAGGTGGGAGTTAATTTTGGGTTGATTAAATTATTACATATTTGCCTCAAAAGTATTGCATCAGCCTGTTTATTCTCACATATGAACTCTTAACGCATGTGGGAGTGAGTTGAGGGTAGGTCTGACTATTTCAAATTTCTTTCCTAGAATTGCATCTGCTTGCCCATTCGCATTTATAAAACTCTGGGCTGCAGTGCTGAAACTGAAAATTATCTATTTGAAGTTTTGAGATAAGATTGCAGAGAGTAACATGTAAGTTGAATGTACTTTTAATATTATCAATTGAAATGCAGCTCCGGTGGTCTAATGTATTGCACTCGAACTTTACCGTTCAAAATTAGTTGGAATTGCATAATCATTCTCCTAATCTTCAATTCCTAACCTTGCCACTTGTATGTGATCACATATTTAAAGATCTTGTTTTACCAATTGTGTTTAAAAGATACATTCTTTTAGCTACAGATTCTGATCGTCCTTGAAGATAGCCCTGGTAATTGAGAAGTGGGAAGAATGTTAGTTTCACTTGTTAACTCTCTTCAAAAGGCACAATAATTAATGATTTCTGAGACACTGTTACTCTTTAATTTATTTTATAAATTTTGGCAATTTAAAAATTGTACTCATTGACATTTCAAAATATGACTTTACTGCTATGTTGAAACATATGGAAAAAGAAAAAGAAAAAAAATTGTATTGAAAAGGGAAATTTATAGGAAAGTCCTGTTTTATTTTTTATATTTAAAAAATAGTTTTTTACATGCACGAAACCTATTGTGGAATTTCTTTGAGCTTTTACTTGTAAGACCACGACAAAGTGATTAGATTGCAATTATGCTGCTTGTTATTATATGATGGAAGAAGTAGAGATTTATGGGATTGATAGAGCCATATTCATATCTTTATTTTTATCGGTGATAGTAGATACTAACACAATCTAATTTGTCTCATGTGAAACTGAAGTATGCCCATTGTTGTTCTTTCCTTTCTGCTTATCAGAGACTCTTAACAGATGAATCGCCCAGGTTGAGGAGTGCTTTACGTTACACAATATATGGAAAGTCTGGTGTTTTTGATGCTGAAAGGTTCATCGATGTCATGCAAGCCTTCGAAAATTTTATTACTGCAGCAAAAAGTGGAGGAGGGGAGGATTTGAATGGTAACATGGCATCCCTTGGTGTTTTGCCGAGTCAGACTGAATCTCTTTTTCCTATGTTGCCATCAAGTTCGATGCAGCCTCAGCAGAATGTCCAAACAAGGGCAGCTTTAGCTTTTCTACTATCTGATAAAGGGAACTTCTTTCGAGAATTCATTCTAGATGAGGTATCCACACCAGCTTTGTGGAATTCATAGAATTATTTATTTATCTTTAAATACTAGCTTCCAAATCCATCTCTTAATCCTCGTTCTAGATAATATAACTAATTTAAATTATTTTTACAATTTATATTGTGCATCCACTAGTTCTTTTTTTCCTAAGAATCTTATTATGAGAATTGTGTTTCATAATCTTTAAACTGTCACTGATAATTATTGTTCATCTTTCCCATGAGTATCAATAATACACATATGTGTGTATGTTTATATGCCCAATGTAACGGTAGCGATATAATACGGAAGTGATCCTAATACCAGACACTCCTAGGATACTTCATATTTAATGATTTAACTATAAAAATATAATATGCATGAAAGGACAGTTGGAAGTAGGGAGAAAAGATATAGGGACTCATAGCCTCATTGAGGGTATGACCCTGGATAAAACAGAAATAGGGACTATGATTCATGTAGCTGACCCCAAATAGTTGGGAAAAGGCTTTGATGATGATAATGAACTATGAAAACAAAATATGCAAAAGTATCAAATATGTATATTGATATGGTCTGTATCTTAATATTCCCACTTTTCTAGTTCCTATTCCATGAGACATTTCTTATTAATCTTTGGGTTCCTCATACAAACCAAGAATCTTGTAAGACATGTATGTCACATTTCAACTGCATGGAAATTGTGCCTAGGTTATTTAATTGGTGCTATGCATGTCTATTTCTAGAAGGCGAGACATATCTTGCATTTAAACACATGCACTTGCTTCTATAGTTCCAACATTTCTTTCTTGCTTGTCCCACAACCTGTCTTAACTTTAGGAGAGTTGAAAAGATGATCTTGATCTCAGTCCGAATGTATTTTATATAAAATCAGGAGAAGAGAAGAGATAGAAGAGTGAGAGAAGAGAAGATATGAGAAACAAATAGATAGACTACTCACTTGGGTTCATGATTCATGAAATGTGGCAAAGTTTTATGCTGGCTGCCCTACCTAATACAACCCTCCTCTTTTATTTGGGCTTGCATACCTCATGACCGGCTTGGCTGGCTTGGGACCGGCCATGGCGGAGTTTATGCCCATAACTATATATTACACTTTCAAGATTCCCCTTTAAGTTGTAGAATGGAAATCAATCATGCCCCGCTTGGCAATTATATTTTCTAGTTTGTCACATATAACTGGTTTTGTGAAGATTTTTGGTGGTTGATGTATTGATTTCACCTTCAATTGCTTAGTTCTCTCCTAAAATACAGGGTTCGTAGAAATGTGATGGCCGATTCATTATCACAATGACAAGTCATTGGTAACTTTAACTCGCAGGTCAGCTAATGCAGTTCTAAGCAATGTTGTTAGGACTGGCGGGACCGGTGATCGAACCAGTGAAGGCACCGGTTTGGTTGGACCGGCCGAACTGGACCGTTTCACCAAGGTCGGACTGGTCTAAGACAATTAGTAATTAACAAAAAATGTGAAGTAAGGAAAATCTGGGAAAAAATTAGAGAAAAACAGAGAATCAAAAAATGAGAAACCTAAAATTTCAAAAAAGAAGTTTTGCCTTTATTTATTTATTTATATTTTCTTTTTTCTTTTAATTTTTCTTTTTATTTCTATTTTTATTTTTCCTGTCTTTCAGATTTTCAATTGTTTTTTGTGCATTTTCCAGACCAAAAATTGAAGAAAGAAAAGTAGAAAAACTAAAAATATGCCCCAAATATATTTCTATTTGTTTTTTTGCATTTCCTTTTTTTGTTTAACTTTTAATGGATTTTACAAAATATAAACTAAAAGAGAATTGCAATTTTGGAACACAGAAGTTTCTTTTTTTGGATTCTATTTGTGATTCACCTTTTAAGCCCTTACAAACTATAGCATTTAAAGTTAAAACTATAAATGTATAAAAACGATAGGAAAACCAAAACTTTTAGGGTTTTTCCTTTTTTTTAAAATATTTTTGGAGTAATATTTTGAGGCTGAATATAGAGCAATGTGAATTGATGTGGTTGAAGTGAGATAGGTTTACAATTGCTGATCCTATGAAGATGTATTGTGGTACTAAAGCTGCAACCTATATAGCCTGCAATCTTGTGTTTCATGAGAGAACTAAGGCTATTGAAGTAAACTATCACTTTATTCGAAAGAAGATTCTTAGAATGTTAGATCTAAAGATTAGTTGGCAGATACCTTCTCCAAACCTCTTGGTCGTAATCTGATCAAACAATTTGTTCCAAATTGTGCATGGGTGACATTGACATTTATACTCCCGTTTGAGGAGGAGTGTTAAAAGTCCATCCATCTTTGTTTTTCTTTCATTTAAGTTATTAGGACATAAATGTCTTATTTTCTGTTTGTATGGGCAATATTGTCTTTTTTTTTATCATTCCATTAATAAAAAAGGAGTTGAGAGGTGTATGAGACTCAATTGACTCTCGTGTCACTCTCTCTTCTCTCCTCTCTCTTTTCATCTTTCTCTCTCTCTCTTTCTCTTGTCAGCTTTCTTTTTTGACTTATTATTGACATGGAATAAATTACAAAAGATACCCCTATTTAGATAATGAAACCATAATTTGACCTCCTCATAAATAGACATCACGATTCAACAAGGAGGCTCTTAGAGTTCGTTTAATACTTCTATTTGACCGATATACAGCAGATATCACTGGTTATTAAGAAAGCTACTAACCAGAATCTCTTACTCTGGTTGATGCCCCTTGTTCTTTAGATTGACAGGTTAAGGTTTCTTGAGCAAACGTTTACAGTTTTACTTGTTAAACTAGGAATATAGTTTTTGGTTAAAATTATGTATTCTTTTCATTTACTAGTGATGGTTAAACCCTTATCTATAGATGTACTTGGGCACAGGTGATTAAATTAACCCACTACATAGCATATACAAAGAATTATAACTATGCCCCAGGTACATGAGTACCATATATGCATGCCTGTCAATATAATGTGCATAAGGCGCATAGAATCCTCGTGTTGTCATGAATTCCTCGGCAAAAAATTCATTTATGGCTTTTAATTTTCAGTAGAACTGTATGTAAGGAATGCATGTAACATATTTCATATACCCTTAATTTGCACGTAACTGGTGATTTACTGCTAGTTGCAAGATTTCTTCCTTATACTTTTGCCACCATTCTGTGGGTGGTCTGATCTCACTTTGGTGTTTTTCCACCCCTTTGATCTATGAACTAGTTGTGTTCAGTCTCTGTTACACATGGGAAACATAGCATTGACTGGTGCATTGTTGAACCTGTATGAGAAATTTCAGAGAATTTTCTCTGTTTTGTCCAGTTTATCTTGTGAAGTATTTGTTTCCATAATTTGAATGATCACTGCTTATCTTTCATTGTGGGTAATGAATATAGCTTATTTTTTAGGCTAGATAATTATAAATTAGTTTGTATGAAGCAACTGGATGGTGAAATAGACTAAACAAGATATAGTTCTAATGCAACTTTCTTTGACCATTGTAATGTATTATTGCATTTGTGCAGATGTAAATGTTAAGTCAAGTTTCTGTAGAATGGATGAGCATAAGTGTGTTTTTTTAACATGTAGTGTTGATTTTGGGAAGCAGATTGTGAAAGGTATTGATGCTATATCCAGAGATCAGCTAGTACAGATTACATCAGCATTAGGATTTGGAAGATTGACTCCAATGCTCAGCATGGTTCCAGTCCTTGGGAGCTTCAAACCTACAGCATTTATACCTACTGTGACTGAGGAGGATAGAGTTGCACTCAACAATGTTCAGAAAGTTGCTGAATTCCTTGTCACTGGAACATCACAACCAATAGCTGCAAATCGGGTAAATTTTTGTTTATATTAGAAATAATTAATAGTGATACAGTATTGGTGAAATTTCTGATTGTTATCTTTTTTTAATGCAACAATCTGGAATATGACACTATCAGTTTATCACTTGAACCTTCAAACCTTTGGATTGCACTGGAACTCTTTGTATAAAATGTTAGGTGATTACAGTTCCCATCAACGTTGTTCGTGTGGTAGGATGAGTTCATGTTGTTTGGTGTTCCCTGTTTCCATCAACCACATCCGCTAGTAGGTTAATTTCTTGTTGTTTGATAAGTGTGTGGTTGACTGATTGATCTTAACTAGACTTCAGTTTCATGTTATGAATTGTATTATTGTGGCTTAAAGCAGTATTACATAGACATTGACATGCGTATAAATATCCAATTTCTGCCGAAGGTGTCTGATATTTTGGTTTAAGAGAAGCAAATACGGCTGGATATGTTCACTCTCATCTATTCTACAGAGATTAAACCATGTTTTAGCGTGGGGACACGTGACGATCAACTAGAGTAGGACCCTATGGAGAGAGACTTCAGGGCAATTACCTACTGAGGGAGGCTCTGCAAAGTGACAATTTTAGGCAACTAACTTCTAGTTCCATTCAATTTCTATTTCTTTGTATAATAAATACATTCTTAGGTGATTTAATTGGAAATATTAATAATAATCCATTTGGGAATGGAAACTTCACTCCTGACCAGTGTTTAGGAACTCACCTGCGGCTAGGTACCTGGCCAAGACGAGTTACTCGGGTGAATGTAAAAATAGAAAAAATATAAAAAATAATTGAGAGGTAATAAAAGTTAAATAAAACCAAAAGCAACTTTAAATGGTCCAAATAGGCTTAAAAATGTACAGAAAAAATGGATTTAAAAGAATTTGATTTATAGATGAGGACATTTTTAAAAATTCTAAATAAAAAGGAAAATATAAAAGGGTATTATGGAAAAAAATCTCACCAATCTTTGCTGTAGACATCCAAATTACATATAAAAGATTTATACAACAATCCCATATTTTTTTACTACCTTTTCCTTTTTTTTTTTTTTATGTACCCCAACTTGTACATGCAACTCGAGGCAACTTGACCTCGCCCATAGGGCAAGACTGAGTAACTCGACCGATTCCGAGTGGACTGGGCTGATTCCCATGACATTGCTTTTAACAAATACTTTATCTAATCTTAGGAGGAATTACTTGAGGTGCCGACTTATGAAATAGATTCTCTCCTATTTTGAGGGGTTATTCACATTTCACTGGAAATATAATCTGGTTTAAAAAAAAAAAGACATTTCTTTTCTTCTTCCATATAGGAATTGCAATCACAATTACAAAATATGCATTGCACGTGCCTCTTCCTAGTGTAATAAAATTTTATGAAATTGTAGAGCATACGACCTCCATATAAAAGTTCTTGATTTCAAACTCCAGCTTGAGCAAAATATGTTCTTTTATTTTGGTCATGTTTGGAAGTGTCAACACACTCTTGGAGTGTGACTTGTGTTGAAATGCGACATCAGATTGGTGCTGGAGTGTTAGGGTAACATGGGTAGGAAGTTATTCCCTCTCCCTCAAGAGATTGTTAGTCCATTCTAAAGCACCCGTGGCTGAAATGTTATTAGGTAAGCCTCTTCTCATCGAATGTAATATTTGACATGTATGTATGGATCTATAGATGTGTCCGGGCTATCTATTTTACATCTAATTGTTTCTTTTGTTACGCGCAGACACACATGTATGTATGTATAGGTGTACCCTGGCTGTCTAGGTTTTTTTTTTAGGGTAAGTAGGCGGACTAGTTTACATCTAATCGTTTCTTCTCTCACTCACACACATGTATGTATTTATGTATGTATGATGTACGTATAGGTATATCCTTGCTGTCTATTTTACATCTAATTGTTTCTCTTCTTTTTTTAAATTCTTCATCTGCTAATAATGAGGACATCTTCTAATTTTGGGGTCAAACAATTATCCTTAGGGCCTCAATATAACACTCTTTTTTTCTTTCTGGAAAGGGATGACCTGTATTCTTTGCAATTTTCTCTTCTCAAAATAATCCATTTCCTGGGGTTCTTCTTTTTGGATATCTTCATGATCATGTTCACCAGTTTGGTGTCGAGCGATTCCTGGGCCGTGATCTAATGACCTTGAAATTAGCTCTCATACATGTATCGAAAAACATTTTGTTAAGCCAATGGGCTTATATTGTGGCATGAGCCAATAGGAGCTTGAGGGATTTGTTTGAGTTGAAATTTGGAACAATATTCATCTTATCAGGCAATCAAAATATAAAAACAAAAAAATGAATTTGCAAAAAACAGGGAGAAATGGGTTCGCTGTTTTTGGTGAATGGGGGCCTTTCATTGATGGATAGTGGATCTAACCTTGAAAATTCAGATTCCCTTTTTTTTTTTTAGAATTTTTGAATAAATTAATTACATAATGTCAGCCAAAACAAAGTAAAACAGCTATGTAGCTCTCTGTTTTAGTATATATGGGCTCATACGTTCTTTTGTAATGTGACGTATGTGACATGTATTGCTCAGTGAAAAAGAAAAGACCCTTGACGTGTTCCTTTTTATTCATGTTGACCAACAGGATGTAGATATCACCCGTGTCATTCGAGACCTTCTCCCAGTTTTGCCAGGAATTTCAGCTCGTGTGCTTCCTGAAATACTAAGCCGATTATCTTCGCGAGTGATGGCCCGACTTCTCCGTGAAGCATTCTTGTAGTGTATTTTGTAGATGCCTATAACTCAAATGGGTCACAGATGTAAGTTCATTTCCTTTGTATATATATATTAATTTTGCATTAAGGCTTATTCTTCATAAATGTTGTCTATGGCCCCTTCATGCATATATTTGCAATGCTCAAGAATTTGATCTTTATTACTTTCTTCGTTCTTTTCTCTTTGAATGTGTATGTGTGTAAGCATGTCCAGGTTGAAGAAGGAACACAATGTTCATTATTGGGAATACAGGCCCCTACCTGTATTTTCAAGTAGTCTAGGAATTAGTTTTTTAAAGGTATTAGTGGGAATGGAAAGCCAAACATGGTGACTAGGATGTAAGGGTGCTGCCACCACAACCCAAGCCCCTCTCCCAGATTGTTCATTATTTGGATAATGCTTTTTTTACAGCGTCAAGAGTTGGTATGATGATACATACTCCTAAATGCATAAATAAAATCTAGGGGCTTGTTTTACCCCTTTATAAGCTTTGGCTTTCTTAATATTTGACCGAAATTGGTTGAATGCTAAGAAAATGAGTATATTTTACTAAGTCTATGCATAGATTCTTTTAGATTTAAATGCCTTTCATTTTCTTGCATTTTTGGATGTATAAATGACATGATTTTTATGGTTTATCTTTGGTGTGATAGTTGCATATTTATTGGGGACATGTGCACAACACTAGCAGACCCACACCCACATCTCGAGGTTGATATGATTGATTAGATAGTTTTTCACTATCAAAATAACATTCTTTTATGTATTTTTGAGGTGTGTCGTTTTTCTACAATTTAAGGTTGCATCTTTATATAAACTTTTTCCTTAAAAAAATACCTTTCATCTAAAAACTCTAAATGCAGATCCATTTTTGTTCAGGAAAGTTTATTATACTTTCTTACTTATACATATTTTTCCTACGTCCCCCATCTCCCGACACTCCAATTTAAGGTGTGCCTTTGCTTTATTCTTGTTGTATTTGTTGGATTCTCATTTTAGTTATTATTGTGTTTTCTATGTTTTTTGTAAATTTATTGCATATATTGTGATTTTTGGGCATCTTATTTTCTTGTGATTAGGAAGTCACTTTTTGATGCGTTAGTTTTATTGTTACGGGATGCTCACCGCATCAATTAGAAATCAGGGTTATCCCAGTTTGTCTATAGTATTTTGATATACTAGATTTATTTTTTAAATTGACTTTAGATACAAAACTTGTAAGGTTGAGAATTTTTCGGATCGGGTTCGGATCCACCCAGATTTGGATCTAGATCTAGAAAGTATCCATAGCATTTGGATCTGGATCTGATGGTATCCAGAATGTTTAGATTCGG